GTAACTAGTAAACTAAATGTTCCTAATTGGATTTTTCGCTAGTGTAATTATAAGTATGGTTTTTGAAGGCTTTTGTACAAAAAGTCCGAAAGTAGGCTTAGAGAAAATCGGGTGGTAATATGGAACCTTACTGTATATTTTCAAAAAAGAATGCTTTAATGTAGCCAAAAACAAATAGGAAAGGACAAAAAATGTTAAATAATTACAAAATCATTTACTCCAATGTATTTTATCGCAAAAATGCTTTTATAATAGAAAAATATGACCTCCATCAACAATATATATTCCAGCAGCTCTTTTTCGGTATTCTCGGGAATAATTGACTTTCTACCTAGTGTCTTTTTCACAAATTGCTCCGGACGAATGTCTGATTGCAAACAGAGAGTTCGGAGGAGTTGAGTTCCATATTACTGTATAAGCACCAATGGGGTTCGTATTTCCGCATCGCCATCTCGAATTAACTTATGTCTGTCGAGACAAAAATTTAAAAAACGTGAACATCACACAGATTAATATGTACCCTCAAGTCTCTGGAACGGAATACATGCACCAGTGAACCTACAACTATACGATTTATATTTTAAAAATAATTAAATTCACTTAGCATTCAAAACTTGCGAATTTTGAAAAAAACAAATTTGCTGATTAAATGCGGACAACCGTTTAAGCGAAGTAAAACGGGTTTTCCCCTTGCTATGGATGTCTGCCTAGTTCAGTTCAGCCACATTCCGCTACAGTTCGCCTTTATTATCAGTTCGAAATGGGGTGGTTCCATAATACCTGTTGTGTTCCATAATACCACCTTCTCCTCTAATATTTTCTATATAAAATATGCAAAATACATCAGATAAAATAATAATGATGAATTGATTTGTTTTTTGAAGCCGTGTCCTGTTTTATAATTCTGGCGTAGTAAACACTAGTATTTTGCTGTATTTCAAAGACACATGGCAAGTTTTCCATCAAATATCTTTATTAGTTAAGTCGATGTGTGATGAGTCTTGCCGTTTCTAGTTTCCGTAGATTTGTTGATTTATCTACAGAATACAAATCTACGGAAACTAGAAACGGCGAGACCCATCAAACATCGACTCAACTAATAAAGATATTTGACGGAAAACTTGCCATGTGTCTTTGGAATACAACACAATACTAGAGTTTACTACGCTAGAATAATGATGAAAACTATCAGTTTAATGAAACAAATTTTAATTTCTTCCAAATTTATAATTTGGACAATATGCGATAATGTAAAAAAATATTCTTAATATTTTTAGAATAAAATATTGAAAATACAATTCAATTTATGTTGTCATATTTATTATTTAAATCCGTATATCCGCTAACATTTAAAATAATTTGTTTTAATAAGGTTTAAAACACAATAATCAATTTCTTCTATTTTCTCGTAAGTTAAAGGATGATTTCATGCATATAAAGGACCTTGACATTCCATAAAATGGTGCAATGATATGGATATAATTTTTTGTAAATGCCCTTCCTTCATATAAATGATAAATATATTTTGGATATATATAGTAGAGAAATATTCGATAAAACTTTCTCTCGAATAAATACTATTAGTTATCTGTTTTTAATTTAGAAATTTCGAAAATAAAAATTTTATTAGACATATTTTTATAATAATATTGCAACATACAACACAACAAAATATGACCAATAGAAAAATAATTACATTTAATTTAGTTTTACCTTTCTTACAGTTAATTATAACAATTTTTGACAGATACTGTTCTAATAAGATATTGTTAAAATAATATAATGCTTTATCCTAAAAAAATTACCTTTTATCAATAACACAATTTTAAAATTTCTATCAATTTTAATTACTAATTAAGCTAGCAATAAATTTTAAAAAATCAAAGAATATAATTAAGATTGTCTATCATATAAAAAAAAATTTTCAACATAACATATGTCTTATCTATGAAGCAGTTTTAAAATCTAATAAATTTCCTCAAGAAGTTTATTTAATTTTTTTTATTTTTTATTATTTTAAGTAACACGTATAAGTCCTATTTCTTTCTATATTCAAAATTTTTCTTTAAAGTAATTATGATGTGAAACTCATTTAAATTTTGATGCTAAAGGTCAACGGGGTGGAGAAATAAAGAGGATAGTATGTCATATCTCGAGTAGGGTCGGACTTAATGACGATTGTCCTCATTATTAGCATATACAATTTTTTATATAGCCCTTTCCTACCCCGAAAATTAAGCTTTTCGTCACTGTATAATAATTAAAAATATAAAAAGTCTTTAACAAAATATCATAACAGATGATATTTTGACACACACCTAGTTTTAATAAATATTGCCAGGAAACTTGAACAACTTGTTATTAAATTTTTTAAATCTAATAACCTAAGATATATGTTATTAAGTATATAAATTGTAGAAAATATTTTTAAAATAAAATAATGTTTAATTTATCTTTTGATAAACATTTCTCAAACCTTTTTGTTGGAACGGCCGGATCCGAATAGAATTTTTCGGTTGGTAGTTCGTCTAGGATATGTCGGGAACCCGTTTCTTACCATGTGACCGATTATGAGCCTGACCGAACCCACGATGGCAAGCTACGAGATCCTTTTAGTGTCTTCAAGGCGCAAAGTGTAAAACAACTTGTCATTGGAACAATTTAAAATTTGTTTTTCATTAATATAATAATTTACCTAAGGTTATATTTAATGTATTGATTTATAAGTATAGGCAATAAAAATTCATAAAGCCACGCAAATTGTTTGTCAGTGATAATTTATTCGATTAAATGACTTTCCTTCTTCTTTAGTGATGTAGTAGGCAATTTAAAACAAAATAGCATGAGACACGTGTGACGGACATCATGCAACTCACGCTTCTCTGCTTCTGGACTATAATCATTTTCTTCGAAACAATTTGCAAAATTTACTTCTTAATGATCGATAAAAATGATTCTTCATAAATTTTAGATTTTTCTCCCATGATATAAGTTTAATAGTTAATTGAGATTAGTTAAGAGAGTATAAAATGCATATAAAATCAATTACAACTAATCTATGTTATATTATACAATACATCTATCAATACAATACTATATTATATATTATATAATGTAGTGTACGGTTATTTATGATCATAATATAATAATTGATAAAAAGACAGAAAAATATGTATGTAAAGTACACACCTATAAACATTTATGCTATTAAATAAAAACGGGATTCCAAACTTAGAACGACTTGAGGGTGAGGCCGAAAACGTTTGTTTCCGAAATTTAAGCATTACCGGAGATAAAGGTTCGTCGAGGGTGTTCATTAACACCGGTAAGGTTAACATTAACACAGGTTAGAAGATATTGTGATGACGAAGAACGTATTTTATCCAAATTATACTTGAAATTTAATTTGGATTAACACCAATAGTAACTAGAATATTAATTTTGTTACATTAATATTATGAGGAATAAAAAACAAGGCATTTACGATTAGGAAATATTTACTAAACCTTCATATTAATAAGCATAGAAATTATGTGACAAGTTAATTTTAGTTTTTAGTATTTAGTTTTTCCCCCGTAATATTAATTTTAAGTTTATACCTTGAAATATATCATTCGTCATCTCGAGGTCGAGTTCGTAGAAATTAACAACAGATGTGCGCTATGGATTTATTTCCTCCACGTGACAACGTCTAATTTAAAAAAAGTAACTAACTAAGACTGAAAATTCTATCATTCTAGTTTTTGTTTCAGCAATGAGTGTTTTGACACAATCCGTTGTGTTTTTTCTTTCGTTAGCTAGAGTACTCGACATTGGTCGGGAAGAAGTAAAAATCATTGAAAATGAATATGATTACATCATAGGTAAGTGTTCACATACAATTTAATATTGTTTCTAATATAATTTATAATAGCTTCCATTTTATTTTATAACAATATTATTAACAAATATTAAAAACAGACTTCGAATGTATAGTATATATTTCCTAAATATAATTTGGTTCTCATTGTATATACCTCTTTTCATTTATTTTAATCACAAAATATTCATTTTTTATAGTATCAGTAATTTTATTCAACTTGATTATCATCATTATCGAGATTTGATTAACTTTCAAACAACTTTAACCAAAGTCTTCTTGAAAATGATCCAAATTAATACTAATTAAAAGATAAATATTAAATACTTATAAGCACACTCTTTTATTTTATTTACAAATAAACTTGTATTTAAATTAAATTTCCTATACCTCTTTAAATAAACCCGAATTTTAGAAGGAAGTTGGAAAGATGAAGATTTTCTATAATTAAATTTGAAATTATTGAACAGTTTCTTTTGAGTGAGATATTTTAATCAATATAATTTAAAGCCGGTGTAAGTTGTAAAAATTAATATCAAATTATAAGAAATAAAAATTTAGAAATTTTGTCTCATCAAAGTGAAAAGTGTCCACCTTTCAGAATTTGAATAAATAATTTCCACGCCAAGCTGAAAAATAAAACCAGGAAAAGAGAAAATAGTTCGTTAAATTTCATATAGACCTATAACTTTCAACAATATTTATAGTTACGATAGTAATAAATAATTATATTAACGCAAAAATTTATAAATAAATAATTGGTTAAAAATATTTTGATTATTAGATATTTTATAAGCTGTTAATATGACTAATTTTTTTCCGTCTTGATTGGTATACAATTTGCATAATTAAATTGTAAGCTTAATTTCAGGCTTTATAATATAATTATAGTTTAATTTATATAAGTAGAGTTAGACTTTTTACAGAGATTATTTTTAAAAATCTTTATAAAATTTATAATGTTAAATAAATTCAGCTAAATTAGCGTATTCTTGGATTTAAAAATGTGGAGGTAAAATTAATTCGCACCTTTACCAACACATTCTGAAAACTCAGTTAATAATTGTTTCTATAATTAACAATAAAATTAATTCTTTATTGGAATCATTAATTCTCTAAAGATAAATTTATTCACTAAGAAAAAATTTCGAAATATAATTTCAAATCATCTTTCCTTGCCGTTGTATATGTAAAACAAATAAAATAATTTGTCTCCTTATTAGCTTCATTAAAATAATAACAGTAATTACAATTGTTTTTTTCTAAGCATAATTTTCATATTTATTTAAATAAAGAAAAATAATTATTATCCAGGTCAAATTTGAAATGTTAATCGCATATAATTATAAAATTTCAGTTTCTTTAGACAATTCGATTTGATTTTTAAGTAATTTGATTTTCTTTACACAGTTGGAGGAGGATCAGCAGGGGCAATTTTAGCAAACAGGTTGTCTGCACATTCAGAAAATAAAGTCTTACTTTTAGAAGCTGGGTGTAACGAAAATTCAATTACTGACGTTCCAATTAATTCTGCACTTTTACAACAATCATCCATGGATTGGAAATATGTTACTGAACCGCAAAAATTTGCTTGCCTTGGTTTGAAGGAAAAAGTAAGTAATACCTCAAAATAAAATTTAAGAAACAGTTAAATAAATGTCAAAATATTACATCCGACGTGCTACAAAAGTTGCAGACAACATAGAAAATATTTGATAAATATCTTACTGCTTGCAATTACTTACATAGTAATGACATCAGAAATGACTTATGTAGTACCTTGAACTCATTGGGAAAACAGCGTAACAATAATAGAGTTTCAAATATAGCTACAATATAATACTTGATTTATACAAGTATTTTATAAATAACTAATCTATCGTTAGGATAAAATTTTAATAACGACAATTATAGAAGCGCTTCTGAATAATGTAATTTCGTTTGTCTGCTAATATTCAATAAGCGTAACTAAAAAGTAAAATCATATTTATTTATTTAAATTAATAATAATAATTTAACACTAAAAATTAAATGTATTCGTTTAATATCTATACAAATCTCTTGTAAAAGAAATCAAAAGTTTATCATTCCCCTCCCCCAGTTTTTCAAATATACTGATCATATACAGTAATGCAGTTCAGTAAATATTTATTTATTGTTAATAATGTTAATGTTATTATAAGTATTATTATTAATATTAACAACAATAGTAATATTAATGATGACAAAATTAGAAAATAGCATTTACAATAAACTAACTATTTTAACATTAGCTATGAATGTAGGAAAATCCAAGTAAAATTCTATTATTTTTTAACATTTATTTTTAATTTAAAAAGTTCTTTCTTGTTAAATTATGAATAAAAATATTTTATAAAGCTTGAGTTTTATGTAAGTAATGATTAAACTTTTCATCCTGATATAATTTATGCTTTATATGAATTACATATCCATATATACCAAATATACAATATGTATATTTTCTAAGCGTAGATCAAAGTTAAAAACTATTTAGCCATAATAGTATTATATCAATATTACTTTTACCTTTCACCACCTATTGACAAAATTTATCTTTAGGCTATATAATTTCTACTTTCTCGTTTTCCATATGGCACATTAATATATTGACCTTCGCATAACAACTCAATGAATATTGTAAAATATTCCATTGTTTAGTCCGCTTGTTGGCAATTTTTTAAATATATAATTTTCACATAACTGCAAAACAGATAAAGTAATTATAATTTTGCATCTATTTTCTTATTAATTTAAATAACGTTTGTATAAGTATTATTACTAATAATATTATTTCAAATAACTGCAGACATTATGAGTCAACATTTTAAAAATAAATTTATAAGTAAACTATTTAATTTACATGATTACATATTCTAAAATGAACTGATTTATGTGATATTAATTTTATTATTTATTTGTACGTTTTTATAAGCGTTCTAGATGGCCAAGAGGGAAAGTTTTAGGAGGTTGTAGTGTTTTGAATGCTATGTTATATGTCAGAGGAAATCGAAAAGATTACGATCAATGGGTTGAACAAGGAGCAACTGGATGGAGTTGGAAAGAAGTGTTTCCATATTTTCTTAAATCCGAAGATAATACAGATTTATTCGTATTGAGCAATGGTAAATTTGATTATTTTTAAAAATAATAATATAGTCTTATTATGTTTAACGAAGTAACATTTTAGCATCATAACGACATACGAGGGAATATCAGAAAGTAGATTTTTATTTTATTCCTGAGAAAGTAACGCCTGCAGCACGGTGTAACTCTGTATCAATTGACCCCATCATCAAATTGCAAGAATTTCTTCCATGTAGACCACGTGTGCTTTGTCAATTTAGTATTGCTAACCTTACTGAATAAACTGACAGGCGAAGTGTAATTAATTATTTATGGGGGAAAGAAATCTATTATGAAAATCCACCATGAGCTAATAGAAGATTATGATTTATTACATAATTGATTGATGATATTTTTTTATAATTGATTATAACATGTGAAGATGTAATGTGAATTAGCAGAGTTAGCGTAAGGAATATAAAAAAAAAAAAAACAGTATTTTGTAAATTGATGCTCCATTGAGATCTATGTTTCTAGTTTGTCGGAGAAAATCAAAGAAATTAAATCTTGAATTCATCTTCAGAATGCATCTTTCTACCATCAAGACTTCGATTCTTTGGTTCTTCTCTATAATAAGTACAGTACTGTACTTATTACAGCGATCAATCCGAGATCCGAAGCAAGTATGACAAAGTGTACACTTAATATATTCGTATATCTGCTGCATGATTCCACATTGTAACTTGTTTAAATATAAATAAAAAAATAAGACACCTTACTTTTTAAATTTCCTACTTAAAATAAAAGTTCTGTACTTATATTAAACATACTATAAATATAGAAAAATTGTATAAATTCTCTGAAAATAATCATTGATAAAAGAAAACTAAACTTTCTATTGAAAATCTTTCAATGTTTATAGGTTATCATGCTACAGGTGGTTATCAAACAGTTTCTTCTCCAGTATATGCTACACCATTACAAAAAGCTTTTCTTGAAGCTGGTAAATTATTTGGATACGAAGTAAGAGATATCAATGGCGCAAAACAAACAGGTATTAAAAAGAGATTTATTAAAGAAACATAATATATTTATAATAATTAAATTCACAAAATTATAATTAACAAAAATATTTTTACTTTTGTTAATTTAATAAATAATATGCATATATGCTGTAATACATTGTCATTTTCAATTTTACGTCCCTTCCATTGACAAAAAAGGAATTTTCCATTATATTTTTAGGTTTCACATCTGCTCAATCAACCAAAAGAAAAGGTAGAAGATGTAGTACTAATAAAGCATTTATAAAACCAGTGGAAAAACGAGTAAATTTAAAAATAGCTCTCTTTTCCTTTGTAACAAAGGTAGACGTTTTTAATTATTTATCTATTATAAAATTCAATAAAAGATTTATTTAAATTAATTTTCGTTTTAGATATAGCATTATGAAGTTTTCATATTTTTAATATATTCTTTCTATGAATGTAAGTCAAATTTACATTAGATTCATTTATCGATTATTGTCTAAGGAATCAGCTTAAAAAATCTGCAAGTATGAGAATAAAAACAAAATTGGCTCAAATTATAAAAAATAGAATTTAATTTCAGTTTTTATTTTCTTTTATAAGAGAAATAATAAAAAAAAATTGATTTATCTTATAGATATACTTCGTATATCTATCTTATGATATGCTATTTATATCATGTTTTATAAAAATGTAATTAAAAACATGAAAATATAAGTTTAAATAGTCAATTATCATAATAACAGGTTCTTATTTTTAAAAACAATAGATTATAAATTAGAATTTTTTGTGTAAATATATTTAGTATTATTTAAATTATTAATGAAATGATTCGCTTTGTTATAAGTCAATTTAGCTGAAAAATTGATATTATTATTAATACTATATCGTTTCTTCTAGTTTTTAAATAAAATTTATCATTTAAAATATTATTTTTTAAAGTTTAATAAATATTAACATGATTTGATCATATAGGATACTATTATTTTTTAATTACAAAATTAACATATTAGTAAAATACTAGATAAAAATTCTATATAAAAAATATTCTTAATCTTAATACCGATTAAAATAATGGACTTCATTCCATTATTTTCCATTATTTTAATAACAAATGCTGCTTTTCTTCTAGAGGAGCGAACATTAAGCAAAGTTTTATAATGATAAATTGATTCCATATCTCACCGAGAAAATATAATTACTTGTTTTCTGAGAATTTTTGAAATAATTTTTATCTGTATTTTTTAAAATATTGTACAAAATTTTAATTTTTTATATATTTTAATTTTAAAGCTAACGCTGGCTTTATACAAATATTTTAGTTACAGCAATTAACACTGTGTTAATTCTGAATTTTATTTTTACAAAGCGTGCTTTATCCTAGGCACAAACAGAAATTTAATGTTATTTAAAAACGAATAGCTAAAATTAAAGGCAAAACACGATATATTTATTAGTTTATATATTAATTTATATTTTGGACAAATCNCCCCATTACTGTTGCCCCTATACCAGGGGCAACTTTAATAAAAATAATTAAAATAATTACAACTTTACAAAAAGAGAGAAGTTGCCGATCTTGCCCCTATACCCGGGGCAACTTCGTCAATTTCTCTCTTCTTGTAAAGTTGTAATTATTTTAATTATTTTTATTTCCAAACTGATTTTAACCAGTTCTATAGTAAGGTAACATTCCAATAAACAACATGCAAAAGGTTTTTTTCAGTTTACAGCAGTATTTATTACACAAAATTTAAGTAAAGCTTAACATGCCGATCTTGCCCCGATCTCCCCTATCAGTTAATTCTTGCAAAGTAAAGTCAATATTTTCTAAGGCATCCATGATGTTATATTTTTTCCAAAATTGCACAAAACAAACATAGATTTAAGAAAAGGACAGCGCTATGACGAATTCCTACCTTTTTCTGATTGATTCGTGTTCGTAAAAAAATCGTATTATATACAAATTAATAAAATTCCGCGATAATTTAATTCAGCATAAATTTTAGGCATTTTTAGGCTTCGAGCAGACCGTGTTATATCGAATCAGCGTTAAGCAGGGTCTTACTGTATATGAATTAATTTATTTTCAGATTATTTTCGATGATTTAAAAAGAGCCATAGGAGTACAATACGACCGTTTTAACAAAACTCATATCGTAAGTGCTAAAAAAGAGATTATTATCTCGGCTGGTTCTATAAACACACCTCAACTATTAATGCTATTATATTAATGTATATTTTGGACAAATCTGAATATAGATGTCACCTTTTTATGGGCACGAACATTTCGTTTTTTAACCATTATGCGAATAGTGTGGGATAATGCAATGGTGCCTTGTTCAACAAAAAGTATGTCTTAAAGTTGAGCAAAGTCTAAAATTAAGATTTATTTAGTTTTATTTTTATCTCTTTCCACTCAGTGGGCACTAAAACAGTCTTTTTTTCCCAGTTTACAATAGATTTGGCAGGCCCACAATGATGGCAGCTATAATTTAATCGATATTTTAAATTTTATTTCCCTGAAAATTTTGGCTAATTAAAAATTTCTATAGTAAACCAGTCTTTCCTAATTTTATGACTTTATCTTTTATATAATAGAAAAATAATAGATACTATATGCCTTATAAATTTTTTTCCCTTCTTAACTTTATTAGAAAGATTACAAATCTTCCAGCTAAAGTCAAACACTATATTTTCTTTTCACTTCATACAAAATTGGGTGAATAAAGCCTGAACCTTTAAGTTACTATTTTAATATCAATATCATCACTTCCAAACATTTTGGTAATTAAGTCTTTCACAACTATCTGTAATGCTTTTTTTACAATGCAGTTAATTCAATTTTCTCTGTTATAGCAATATTTTACAATAAATGAATTTGCTGAAACTTACCTCCACTTACAATATTATTAAATATTTCACTATAGCATGACTTACCTTGTTATAAAAACTTTATTTCATAATTTTTATACTTTACTTTGTCATATTATTTGTCTCTTTCTATATAAATAAGCAAATATATGTTCAGTTAATATTATCTCCAATAATGTTCAATAATCAAATATGTCTTATTATAGATAATTGAATAAGTTTTCTATTTATTACAAAAAAGAAAGGTTTTGTTATTATATAATGTGAAATAATTCAACACTTAAAACTACAATTTATGTTAGATTATGAAGCGAGTATAGACAGAATTGTAATAGAGAAATTATGGATTAAAGCTTTGATAATAAAATATCCTGCTTTTGCACCCCTTTCAAGATCTGAATCATTCGCTACAATTTGATCAACGATTTCGGTTATCTTTACCAAACTTTTACTGGGGAAATCTGTAGAGAAATTTTTTGGGTTCTTCGTTTTCAGAATCTCTATTTTCCAGTTCTACATGAATTCCTTGTTCTGCTAGTTCTTAAGGGTCGTCGTTGGTAAGGCTCTCACCAGAAACCTGCAGTAACTGCTCAATATCCTGCTCGTTTATATCTAGTCTTGCTGTATCGATTAGGTTGACAATTTAACATACAGCGATAGGCTCTTCTCGTTGAGAATTCTTGGATACCTTCAGCCATAACTTTTTCCACACTCCGTTCATGCATTTAGGGGAGATCGGGGCAACTTCGGCATGCGGGGCAAGTTTGTCAAGCGCTTTTTTTAAAAAACAAATTAAAAAAAAACTTTGGTTATAGGTTAGGCAGTTGAGTTTCATTGGTGGCTTGTTGAGTGTCGTGTTTTTATTGTTCTCCAACAAGCGTAGTTGAATTATCAAGCAAATTTTCATTTTCGTTCAATTCCATATAATATTTTTTTTCCATTTATATTGAATTGGCAGGTTTTGTTATAATTCCATGATAACGAAAGTTACTTTTCCTGTTAGAAGGATGTAACTTCAACTTATTCACGTGGCCAGATCGTGGCTTGGCATTCTGTTCTCAGGGTTGTACTTAATGTTTCGAAATCATGACTAGCGGGGTAAGATCGGCAACATAAAGCCACATTAGAAGCAAAGGATAAAAATCAAACAGATGATAAATGAAAACATGTTTGCATTTGTTATTCATGTATATATGTCTTTGAACTTGCATTTCGTTGTAATAATATTAAATGGGTGTTGGATTTGTATTTCTTTGTTTTAATAGTGAATTCCAACTTATACATTGTTAATAACATAATTTTATATACGTGCCTATCTTGCCCCATTACTGTTGCCCCTATACCAGGGGCAACTTTAATAAAAATAATTAAAATAATTACAACTTTACAAAAAGAGAGAAGTTGCCGATCTTGCCCCTATACCCGGGGCAACTTCGTCAATTTCTCTCTTCTTGTAAAGTTGTAATTATTTTAATTATTTTTATTTCCAAACTGATTTTAACCAGTTCTATAGTAAGGTAACATTCCAATAAACAACATGCAAAAGGTTTTTTTCAGTTTACAGCAGTATTTATTACACAAAATTTAAGTAAAGCTTAACATGCCGATCTTGCCCCGATCTCCCCTATCAGTTAATTCTTGCAAAGTAAAGTCAATATTTTCTAAGGCATCCATGATGTTATATTTTTTCCAAAATTGCACAAAACAAACATAGATTTAAGAAAAGGACAGCGCTATGACGAATTCCTACCTTTTTCTGATTGATTCGTGTTCGTAAAAAAATCGTATTATATACAAATTAATAAAATTCCGCGATAATTTAATTCAGCATAAATTTTAGGCATTTTTAGGCTTCGAGCAGACCGTGTTATATCGAATCAGCGTTAAGCAGGGTCTTACTGTATATGAATTAATTTATTTTCAGATTATTTTCGATGATTTAAAAAGAGCCATAGGAGTACAATACGACCGTTTTAACAAAACTCATATCGTAAGTGCCAAAAAAGAGATTATTATCTCGGCTGGTTCTATAAACACACCTCAACTATTAATGCTATCAGGAATTGGACCGAAAGAGGATTTAGAAAAATTTGAAGTAAATAAATTTTTATTATCTAAAATTATCTACATTATTTCAAATTATAATATAAATAAATTTTATATTTTATTCAACTTTCTTAGATACCAATCATATCAGAACTTCCTGTAGGTTTAAATCTTCAAGATCATATTTTTCCACACGGAGTAAATTTCTTGATTGATAAACCTGTTTCGAACGTTGCCTATCGAACAAGCTCACCAACCAATAGTATTCTTTATTATGCTGCTGGAAAAGGTAAGTTTAAAGTTATTATCAAATGTTAAAATTTCAGTTGGAACTAAAAATGAATTTTTATGAAGGACCTTGGACATTGTCTAATGGACTCGAAGGGATCGCTTTTATAAATACACGATACTCAAACATATCGCAAGATTTTCCTGATATTCAGATACATTTTTCTTCGGGAAGCATATCTTCTGATGGAGGTAGCGTTCAAAAGGAAGCAATTGGATTGGAAGAGAAAGTAAGTTTTATAAAAATATGTACTGATGAGTGGAAATTTTTAATCGACTTACCTTTATATTTTAGGTGTGGAAAAATTATTATGAACCATTTTCTTTCCGAGACACATTTTCTTTTCTTCCTGTTTTACTTCATCCCAAAAGTCGAGGATATGTGAAATTAAAAAGTGCTAATCCATACGAATATCCAATTATCGAACCAAATTATCTCTCCAAACCTGAAGACGTTCTAGTTCTAATTGATGGTACATTTCCTGTAAAAAATAATGTTAATATTTAGTAAATTTCAATGACTTGCAAAATTTAATTTGTATTCAGTTTTTAATATTAAAATTCTATTTGATTTTGTTTGAATATAGGAATAAAGAAATGTATAGAATTGGGTAACTTAGAACCATTTAAGAAATATGGAGCTCGAATCTTCCCAACAACTGTACCAGGGTGTGAAGAATTCAAAAAATATGAGGATGAGTACCTCGAATGTATGGTTAGAACTATGACAACGACTATGTTTCATCCTGTCGGAACTTGTAAAATGGGTGCAGTTGATGATCCGACAACTGTTGTAGACCCCGAATTAAGGTAATGATTATCATTACAATGTTATATGTCTGTATTTATTATTATACCGGAATATATAAGTTAATGTTGTTTTAAAAACACATAACCTCCACATTTTTCAGAGTAAAAGGTGTATCTGGTTTGCGTGTCGTCGATGGTTCTATTATGCCAACTATAGTAACAGGAAATACTAACGCTCCAATAATGATGATAGCAGAAAAAGCAGCCGATATGATTCTAGGATTAAAATCATCAAATAAACACGATAATTTCCTGTAACTGTATTAATTTATTGTGTATAATTGAATTAAATTATTAGCATAACGAAATGTAATCTTTAGAAGTGTTAAACACTAGATCGTGTTTCATCACATCACATGGCTTATTTTCCACCTTTATTTAGTTGATACGGTATCATTTACACGTTTCGGGCTTTTTTGCCCCTCATCAGTCAACTAAAATAAGAAAATAGTGTATACAGCATTAAAATATCATTTTTTACAAGTAATTTGTACAAACATTTTAAAATATGTGTATATGACTTGCACGTACCAGTTTTCCCCCGATATGGCACTTGTACTGGGTAAGTTTGTATATTACAAACCCGAAGAAGTATTCAACACTTCTAAAGAAAATATTACAGCACGGTTTACAACAAATGAAACGTAATCTTATTAATTATCTAAAATGTATTTATTTATTTATTTTATACTGAATAGGTGATTATAATGTTTTACAAAAAGTTCTACATTTATATGTAATTTAGTTTATATGATTTTTTTATATTTAAGTTAATTTTATATACAGTAATTTATTATTTAGAAAATCAAGCAAGAAGCAAATTTATAAGAACGTTAAATAATAAATTAAAAAATTTTTAATTTATTTTATTTTATTTTCCCTTAAAGTTTAAACTAACTAAAATTTTATATTAAATAACCACGTGAAAGATACTCTTAATGTTAAATAACTTAATGTTAAATAAACTCCTTAAATTTACTGTAGTAAATTATGTGTTTTCATTGGTACAATAATATTAATACATTTTGTAATTAGTTTTATGAATTTTTCATCGACATATTCTTTGTAAAAATTGCCTTACTAATATTAAAGTTAAGGACATAAAATTGACTGATTTGTATTTCTATTATGATTTATACAATTTTAATTGTGCGCGTACTTAATAGACTTTGTCTTTCAAATTTAAGTTTTATTCATATATTTTTATCTACAACTTGGATTTTTTAACACAGATTTGTTTATATCTAAAAAGATAATACGTTACAATTTATTAACTGCATATACAGGTTGTTTCAAAATTATATGTCAGAAATGTAAAGGAAGGTAGAGGGGACCTAAATAAGCAGATTTCGTATAGGAATGTGGCTGCGAAAATGCAGCGAGAAGGCGCTTCGCTGGCTTGAATCGTCATTCCCCGCATGCATTTTGAGCAACTTGCATCGTTACACCAATGCGGAGCTTGCCGACATGCATTTCATGTATGGCGCTACGCAAGGTAATGGAGCGGCTGCTCAAAGGATGTACTGGTACCTGTGTTTAAATCGTACCACTGCTATATCTTAACATCTATGGCATTTAGAGACGCCCTTAGAGGTAAAAAGTATAAACAATACTCAGCTATAGCGCTTGAATGCAAGTTTAACGTCAAAAAATGACTTTTAAAAATTATTCAAAAAGTAAGGTTTTTTTGGTCACTTTTTTGTAAAATTTTTACTTCATTCATAAGAGTTTTGTTGAAATAAACAAAAATTAGAAGAATATTATTTTTAATAATAATAAAATATTTTAAAAATTTCGAACTGTCATATTTCCATGTGAAATTGCAATGTTATGAAGCACTACAGTGGCAACTATACTGTAGTGACAGCCATAGTATTTTTAAGGTTGCAACGTAAACCTACTGATAAACAGGGAAAACGTCATTTCCATAAACCATATCGCCGTTCCACTGTGTTCCGTGCTTTTATGTGGCATCTGTTATATCTTTCAAAGAAAAAATAATTGATATTAATTTTGAAATATATATGATCATTTAAAACTATATTATGAATTTTAAACACATATTTTAAACTAATAATTACCCTTTTTCTTGATCACTTTGTGGATTTAGGCTAATATTGGTGTTAATAGATATGCCTTGCATTCATATCCACTGTCACCAAGAAGATGATATTTTGATGAAATCTCTCCTGCTTGAAACATAATACACAAATGACTATTGGCAAATATATTGCTATCATGAGAACTACCTGGCCAACTGGCTACTATATTTCTTATTTTAAGCTGGCTATCTGAAACTGTCTGAACATTAATAGAAAAATATCCTTTTCTATTTCGAAATAATTCAGCAGTTTCTCCTCCCGGTGACTGAATTGGAGTGTGGGTGCAGTCAATGGCTCCATACACACATGGAAAACCACTCAAATGAAAAAAGTCTTGGCTTATCTGAAAATATAAATATACACTTGATCTATTATTTTTATATTTTATTACAGTTCATACTTTGAAAAGTAATGTATTAATTAAATGAATAAAGAATATATATAATTTAAATTAATGATTCTAATATAGAAACTTGTAAAAACACAAGATAAAATTATTTTATTACTGTACTATAGTATCGAAAGATAAAGGGATATTAGTCCTACTTACTTGCGTTCTTTCAGATTCTGTTTTAGGCAACTGAATATAATCTGAGGAGAGTTGAACAAGTAAAAAACTGACTCTATTAATTTCTCTAGAAGCAGATGATTGACTTAAATCATTTAAATCGCCTACGATCAACTGAAATGTTCCCGTGGCATAAAAACGTAGAGCCAACAACAGTTGTTCCATCGGTGACATCGCATAATTTTTCGATGATGTAGAAATTAAATTGTGACCAATTTGTTCTAGTAGGTTTCTTACGCTGTCTTTTGGCAAACGATATCGACATAGAAAGTCGTAATCAGGGCTGTGGAGTCGCGTAAAAATCTACCGACTCCAACTCCGACTGCGACTTTTCCTTACCAATCCGACTCCGACTCCGACTCCGACTCCGGCTAAAACACCAAAACTCCACGACTTCGACTCCGACTCCGACTCCGACTCTGACTCCACAGCCCTGGTCGTAATCGTCCAATTGTTCAAGGTCATTTCTTCTTGGAGAAATAATCCGCCGACTTCTTCGTTTCATACGATCTATATAATCTAAATATTTCAGATATTCTAGCATCTCGGCTTCGTCCTCGTCGAATGTCGCCATTTTTCCCTGAAATTGATCGCTTTGCGCAGACGTCAAAACCAGAGTTATCGTCTACTCGCCAATTTTCTAGAGTTAGAGTTATGGTTATTGTGTTTGACTCGAGATTCGGAGTTGGTGAATACCAATTTACCAGTAACTCGAGAGTTAACCCTAACTCTAACTCGCGTTGGTGAATATGGGGATGAGAGTGATATAAGTACTTTTCCGGAAAGTTACGCATGCTGTTACTGGTTTTCATTTTTATTTGGAATCAGTAACTCAATCCACGAAAGTGGGTGTTTCTATCTTTATGTGTGGGAAAAAGCACAGCTGTTGAAAGAAGCCAAAGAAAATTGTGGACCTGGCCGCATTGGTGTAAAACCGAACCGACAAAACCAATAGTAAATGTACTAAAAAATCCCGCTTAGTGCTCACAGATAGAAACTTTTATAAGATGTACGGTACACTAAATACATCTGCTATAATCTATCTATATAAATGAAAATGTAATGTTCGTATGTTCCTAATAGCCAATCTGCAAAAGTTCTTCACCGATTGCTTTGAAATTTTCACACAAGTTCCATTTAAATACGGGCGTGTTTTTATATAATATACATGTCGAAATTCCTTCCCCCGCGAGTTAATAATTAAAAAATTCTTTTTTAATGAAATCTCATAACAGATGGCGCCACACACAATTTTAACATCGTACTAGTGTGTCTTAGTTTTTCTTAAACAAATATCTATCGTCTGTAAAATTATAAAATATTTATCTATAAATGTTTAAAAATTAATTAAATCGTATTTACAATTCCCTATCTTTTTGCTTTTTTGTTGACTATTACCATATAGTTCAAGAGATATTTCTGAGAACGAAACTTCAGTTGGAGACATTAAACTTACAGGAGATGCCCTCTCTTAACGACATTTTCTCACGATCCAACTACGTGGTAAGAGCGGGGATACTACCGCATATATTTTAATCAGAAAAATATTAGAATTATTTTTAAAGGTAATTTGATGTTTAAAGAGGAATTAATCTATATAAATAAAAATGTAATGTTCGTTTGTTCAAAATCTTAAATCTCGGAAAGTTCTTCACGGATTGCTTTGAAAATTTTGACACAACTTTGCATTCAAATTCGCGTGTGTTTTTATATACCGTATTTTGACGAGTATAAGTCGCTGTCAAGTATAAGACGCACCCCTATTTTGAGACAAAAAATTTAGAAAAAAACTTTTAATGGGATTGTCTAAAGATGCATTTTATTCGTTTTTTTATTCAAGAATATGGCGGATGGGTGAATCGATACCTTTATTAAACTGAAATAATCGTCATTTCTTAATGTAAACTCAGATGTCACGTGATGACAGTCGACAGAACATGGCGGCGATGACTCGTGTGTCACTACTCTGATAATCTAGGTACTCTAGCCATTCGGTTGAGGGACCATCCGCTTAACGGACCACTGCACAGGTTGGTCCCTAAAGTGGACCACTATTGTAAGTAATTTCACTGTAAAAATGGTTACCTGTCGAGTATAAGACGCACCATGATTGTGAGCCTCGAAAAGTAGTAAAAAAAGTGCGACTTATACTCGTCAAAATACGGTACTTTAAATGTCGAAATCCCCCCGCGAGGTAGAGGGACAGGATTAAAGCTTACCTTAAGAACTCAACTTCTATTATACTATTTTAGATGCGGTTTTTTGCGTTTTTCATTGCGATTTAATAGGGTACGTCAAGATAATGTACAGTACAAAGGGATTTTTGTGCGATTTAATAGGGTACGTCAAGATATTGTACACTAAAAAGGGATTTTTCGAAATTCCCTCTCGGAAGTGTTATACATTTATAATAGATAAATTTTGAGCCACAGCAACACGTGGCCGGGTCTGCTAGTTTAACAAATAAATAACAAGCACCAGTAATTATGTTCTCATAAGATTTATTTTCCTATATTAGTAAAAGAATGTCATTTTTCAAAAGATGATTATGTTTACTTCCCATATTGAAGAAATTTATCACCCACTTGTAGGTGCATCATCAGGAAGACCGTAACACCAACAATAAAGACTATATGGGCAATATCCCTTTTCAGCTTTTGTTTTCTTACATAAAATGTAAAATTACGAAAAAATTATATTTTTCTTTCCTTTCTGACTTTTGGATAATATAAAACTTCAATTTTTCAAAAAAACAAGCCAATAATGACTATAAAATCTTTAAAAAACAGAGTTTAAAAAGGTATAAAAAAGAAAATAATCTGCAGAGAGAAAAAAATTTTTATTTACATCATTACTAACAAGCTTCCCAAATGCATTTCGCCTATGGCCTCTTCAGTGGGGCTTACAGCACAAAATCTACGTTCAAACAGTCAACTCATTGAAGAGCCACTTATACAGTTAACAAAAAACTCCCAGCATGCCGCTGTTAACATTCCGGTATTTAAATTAACATTATTGTTTTG